GGGTGAGGGAGGGGGCGGGCGTCAGGCGGCTGTGCACAGTGCTGGGTCGCAGGAATGTCGGCTGGCGCTTGTGCTGCAGCAGGTTGCACATACCCATGCAGTCTGGCATCACAGGACTGAGCATGTTGTGCCGTTGGGTGCGGAGGTCCGCGGCACTGCTTGGTTGCGTTGGATGCATGTGTAACGGCGTCCGCTGCTGCCGACGCTGCCCGGCAGGTGCGCTACATCACCGGTGGCGACGACTAACGGGCGCCGCTGCTTCGAAAAAAATCTGATTACTGCACTGGTTGCTGCTGTGGTTGTCAATGGATCTGTTGGGTGCTCCTTTTAGGTGGTGTGCATTCGCACCGCTTGACCCGTGTCGGGCGCAGACTCGCCGATAGTGCGTGACGCTGGTGTTGTTGTTACGGTTCTAGTAGTTGTGGGCTTGCATGTTATGCGCTGCTGCATGACTGGTACACTGCTGTAATTACAAGAGCTGTATTGTATCGGAGGTATCAGATGTGTAACCAACATGGAGAGTTGTGGGGCCACTAGCATGCAAACCCACAAAGTCAAGGCAAGGAGGTATTGCAGCGCAGAGGGGATGGAAGTTTTTCGATATGACGAGTGGTTTGAAAACGTGCTGAATGACTGAAGCTCATGAAGCCATACAAGTCACTGCTTCTACAGCAATGGCTTCGACCGCGCCACCTCCAGGATTGTTGGCGTAGCCAGGAAGGAAGCTCAGAATCATGCAGCCCGCGGTGGACCCTCGCGCAGAGCACATCGGGCGAGTGCATGGCAGGGGTCGAGACGCGCCCGTCCACAATGGATTCAAAGTGATCTTTCACCTTGATGTCAACGCACAACAGCATCAGCAGGCCCACTGCACGCAACGGGGGTTTCCGACAGAACAATTCCCTCCAAAACGCTCCCCGCAAAACAGGCGAACGGCTCTGTGTACTCATACATAAAAGCGTTCGTCTTTTGATTCCTTCATCGTCTTCCTATCCCCTCACGTGGAGATCTGGCAGTGCTTGCAGACACTCTGCTTGAAATGGCTTTCCTCGCGGTCCACAGGCCTCACGCCAACATATCGAATGAGCGTTTTCTGAGTCGCGCGGCGCCTGCGGCATGCGGCATCATATGTCGTGCACGCCGTTCCGGCGCAGGGCTTCGCGGTAGCAGCCATGTGACTCGCGTGGCAGAGAGCGAGAGCACGCCTGACAGCAACGCTGCAGCGGCTGCGCCCCCCTCGGCGCCCCCCCTGCAGTCAATGGAGCTGGACGCGGCGCGGCCGCCTCAGATGCGCTCCCTGTCAAGCCTGCTAACGCCGCACTACATACTGCTCGTCAACGGGCGGCTGGCGATGATGTGAGCGCAGCGGGTGTTGGGGTGTCATCTGCATCCTGTGACAGGGTGGATGACATGGATAAATCATGGCAGGGTCACCGAGGTGCCCCAGATCATGCATGGAAGAAGCAGTCCCGCATGCGCCGCTGTCGACTCCAGTGATTGCCCCTCAACCGCTGCAACCGCAGGAGCATGGTTGGGGGCGTGGGCGGCGAGCTGCTGCTCCGCAAGCCCTTTGCGGCGCTGCTGCTGCTGGCGCCGCCGGCTGTGCTGGGCCTGATGGTCCTGCTGTCAGTGGCCTCCATTATCCCCTTCATGCTGGGGGAGGAGGAGGGCGGTGAGCAACGTCAAGGGGGGCGTGAGAGGCAATAGGGAATTGGGAATGAGGATTGCGGCAGATGTGCGCCAGCAAACGGCGCAGGACAACTCAAAGTCTGAGTCTGCAAGCTTGGAGGCGTGACAAGGCATTGCGGGGTACCACACTGCCAGCTCTGATGGCTACTTTGCGTCAATACCCTGGTCTCACCTCGTGCAGATGAGGTGTTTGGTCCCTTCACACCGGCTGCAGAGGCACTGAACGGTGAGGCCTGCCAGGACTATTCTCAAGCGCCAGCGCACTTGCGTGGCTGCGTCCTGTTGAGTGTGCCACAGAGCTGCCAGAAACCCAAACCCTTGCATGCCTCAAACGAGCGGCCCCCTCTTGGTGCCTCTCCACCCCCCCCCCCCCACACACACACATACTCCCCAGGCAAGGTGGCCATGGCGGCCCTCATCGCGACCTTTGCCATCGAGGCGGCCAAGGGCTCCCCCATCTTCTGAGCCAGCACCCCGAGAGGCTCCACATGGGTTGCACGGGCTCGCGCCCGGCATGCCCTGGACCCAAGGATAAGCTGCGGCGCGCTCCGCCTGCGCCTTGGTGTGATTATGACGTGACGCTTTCAGTCACGCACTCACTGCCTTGATTATCGCCGCACGCTTCAACCCACCTCTTGGTGGTCAGGTGTGTGGTCGCGTAGCATCGTTGCGTGAGGCCGGGCCACATCGTTCGCATGGGATGTCAATTGACATTTCTGTTGCATGCCTTGCGACAGTCAATCGCAGTCAATCGTGCGCAGAGCTGCGCAGCTGTTTCGGTGTTTCTTTCTTTCTAAGGCCCATGATGCCAACAAAAAAAGCACAAGCGACACACAAGCCCCGGAGCGTGTTGGTCTGCCCCCACCTGGCAAGCTCTTGTACCCACCTACAGTACTCCTCACAATTGAGCGTGCCCCTCCTGCAGACTGTACTCAAGAGTGCGAGCGGCTGCATTCCAGGCCTGCTGCCTCATCTGCACAACCCTCATCGCACAGCCCAACAGCTCGCCAAGGTGGCCTTGGCCAACCCTACACCCAGGACGCAGGGCCGCGCATTTCGCGGTCCATCGCCTGCGGTGTACATTCATTGACAGATGCGCACCCTCGTGCTGGTTTATGCAGGGCGTGCAGCTCTCAGCATGCAGCTCAGGTCGCACAATGCTGCGAAAGATACTTGGTTGCGCTGTGTGAGGGCTCAGCTGCCTACTTCGCACTGTTCCACTGTCAACCCCCTATTGTGAGGGGAGCGCGAGTCTTACTGCACGTCATGGATTTCTGACCCCCGACACATTCTCTAGGTCAATTGTCTGGTGTCACTGTAGTGTCACCCAAGGTGTCACTGTAATGTCACCCAAGAGAAGCCAAGGTGCATTTGTAACATTATCGCCCTACATGCCTCGGCTCATCCACACACCTTGCAAGAGGAGGCGGGGGCCCAACCTGCACGCCAGCAATGACGGTGTTCCCCCTTGAACACCCACCATCACGCTGGCCGCACTGCGGCCAGCGGGCCGCACTGCAGCTTATCTCAGCGTCTGAGTCGACGGCACCAGCTCCTGTGCCGCCGCGAGCGCCGCCTCCAGGCCCTTGCGGCACGCCCCCACGCGCACAAACAGGCTCTTGGCTGGCAGGCATGCGAGCGCGCGCCTCGCGGCGCCTGCAGCCGCGGCTGGCTCTGGCAGTGCGTCGCAGGGCAGCGCAGTCAGGGCCGCCGCGAGGGCCTCCGCATCCTGTGCGTACACCCAGCCTGCGGCGGCCGCCTGGCGATACAGCGCGATGAGCCCCGCCTTGGCAGCACCACCGAGCAGCAGAGGGTACAGCGTGCACACCCCTGCCGCTGCCTGTTGCACTGCTGCGATGCTGTCGAGGCACACGCCCAGCAGCCCGTACCCGCCCAGCAGAAGCCCGTCGCGCTGCTCCGCCGAGTTGAGCGCGCATGCCGACGCTGCGAGCAGGCGCAGCACCCGGCGGCGTGGCGCGGCCTCGGAGACCGGCCCTGCGGGCTGGCCGGCGGGCGTGGCTGCGAGGGGGTGGCAGGGTGTGAAGTTCGGGTGCAGCAGCCAGGGTCGGTCCACCTGGGCAAAGCTGAGCCACCCTGTGAAGCCAGTGACCGCGAGGCAGTACTCCAGGTCAAAGCATAGGGCGGGGCCTCGGCAGCGCAGGCGAATGCTTGCGTGGCTGATCAGCGTGGTGATGTCGGGCGGCACGGCGGCGCCACTGTCGCCGTGTTGCGGCTACGGGTGGGTTCAAGGTTGCAGAGCGTGCAGAAAGAGGGAGGGTTGGTTTGTTGGAGGTGTATGGGTGTGCACACGGACCGTCGTTTCCATGTCGCAAAAAGATGCGAACTGTCAAAAGCCACTCGCGCGGCCGACACATCGGTGTATGCCGGCTAACCAAGCACATCGCCAGCTGTCGGACCGCTCGTGCGGCGCTGCCGCTCACGGCCCACAGCCCCGTGCTGAGCGGGAACGCCAGCGGCACATGCTGCCAGCCGACTTCTGGTGTGTGCACACTGAGGCCAACACCAAAGCTGGTCAGGCTGGACATCAGGGCCACGTCCAAAGTGTGCCCTGCAGCCTCTGCAGAGGACAAGGATGCAGTTTGTCAAGGGTCTGGATGTGAGATTTGTGCATGAAGGGGTTGAGTTGCACACACAAAAGAGCTTGTTGGGAAGGTTTCGGGATCAGCAGGCATGATTGCCAGGCAGGATTGCCAGGCAGGATTGCCAGGCAGGATCACTCCCATGACAAGGAATGTGGCTGAGCCACCGTGATGACCGCCGATTCCTCCGTACAAGGTCCTTGCCCCCTCCGTTATAACCCTCTCGATGCTCATTCGCCTCCAGCGGGACATTGAACAACATGCCCGTGCGCCCACCCACCCACAGCTCACCAAGTGCATCCGCCAGGCCCTCCTGAGAGTAGATCACAGGGCCACACTCGACCAGCATCACACCAAACAGGGAACCAGCGCCTCTGCCGTCGCTGCTTGACCCTGGCACTGTCAGCCCAAGCTCCGGCCCATTGGCATCCTCTACTCTCACGCCAGCTTGCTGCTGCCTGGGTGGCTTGCCGCCGCCAGGCCAATTGTCATCGCTCACGCCGTTGGCCATCAGCCGGTTGAACACCACCGCCAGCAGCTCACACACCGCCGCGGCCGCTGCACTGTGCGTCAGCCGCAGCCCGCCGGCGTCACCAGCTGCCGCTGAGTCATCCTCGCGCCCGCCGGGGCCATCCCCCTGGTACAGGTCTGGCAGCAGGGGTGACAGCTTCCGTGCAGCTTCCGGGATTGGCGCCGGTGATGTGTCGGCCAGGTCCTCGGGTGTGATGCCCAGGAGGCGGTGGACAGAGGCTGCCGTCAGCAGCAGCGGGTTTGGCAGGGACTCGGGCGGTGGTACGCGCGAGCGAGCGGGGTCAAGAGCTGCCCCGCCGCGCCGCAGCAAGTCCAGCGGGCCCGCGCTGCGCAGGGCGTCACGCGTGGCGGGCCTGGGTGCAGTGGCGAAGCCTCTTGCGGGCACCGGCACTGTCATGGAAGGGGATGACGGCTTCCGTAACCATGGCACACGCCAGCGCCGTTGTTCATGGCTGCCAGCCAGCTGCTCCTGCTGCTGCTGTTGCTGCTGGTGGTCCTGCCGTTGCTGCTCCTGCTGCTGCTGGTCTGCAGGCATGTGCAAGTTCTCGCCCCCCTGCTGCAGGTGTCGTCCCCCAGACCGCGAAGCATCCTGGCGGGCAACAGCGCGTCAAAAGTTGATTGCTCCCGGAGCAGTGCATGATGCGCTGCACCAGTCAACACGGCGGCTGCCCATTGCCCGCTCACCCTCCACGCACCCCGTTTCCTGCCAGCACTGCCTCTCCCCCTTGGGCCGTGAGCCCGCGGCTGCTCCCTGGTGCTTCCTGGTCGCAGCTCACCCGCCGCGCCCTGGCCACCACCTTGTCCAGGGCCTGGCTGAACGCCACCAGGTCCAGCGCAGACACAGGCGCCGCTGCAAACCGCCCCGCCGCGAGCGAGGGGAACCCGGCCAGCAGGGCCGGCAGGTCGCCGTCCGCGCGCAGGGCGGGGGGCAGGAACAGCGCCAGGGGCAGCGCGGCGGCAAAGCCCCAGCGCTCGGCGATGGTGACGATCGCGCGCTCGAATGACACGGAGCCGCGGGGCGAAAGGGAGGCAAAGTAAGAGCCCAGAGAGATCTGCACGCGACAGCGTTGCAGTCAAGCATGAGTTGGTGCGCGCAAGGATTTTTTTTGGGACTTGACGTGATGGACGCATTCACAAAGCAGGGGCCATGTGTCAAGCTGCAGCAGCCATGCAGCGGGCTGGGAGCTCCGTGGCGGGCAAATCGGAGCAGCAGCGGTATTGACGGCCGCAGGGGCCTTGGGAGCATCGGCACATGGGGCGGGTGGCAGCAGGCGCAGCAACGGGGGCCGCACCAGGCGCAGGCCATCCAGCGGGGGTGTGGCCGCGATTTCGGGGTCAAGCTCCAGAAATGCCACAAGGCCCCTGATCGGTGGTGCGGCACAGGATCCGTTGAAGTGCAAGGCAACGGTTGACAGGTGTTGGTGGCACATGCAGCACGGGACACTCGGAAACAGTGCAGCGCGGCGCACGTGCCGCTCAGCACTGCTCGTGATGAGCATTGCTGTCCGTGCCCATTCCTACCCGTGCATGCTCACCCTGTCGCAGATTCCACGTTTGTGCTGTCCCGTTCAACGCGCACATTCAACCGGCTGTGCTCCAGGCGCTTTCGAGTCTCGCGTTTCCACAACAGCACCACGACTGTTGGCACGGCGATCGGCACCAGGATGAACGCAGCCCACATCACAACAATATCAAGCTTCAAAGCCTCGCGCAACATCAAGCCTATGCGTGTGCCGGGCGTTGAAATCAGAGTGAAGGGCCAGTCACTTTGGGGTGGTGACCGCAAGGTGCCACCTTGCGGTGAGGCGAGTGACTGAGAGCGCCCGCATCATTGAGACGCAGGCCCGTTCTCCCGCCACAGGCCCAGAGAACATCCGTTACTGTAGCGCATCCTGCATGTGATGCCCTGCACGATATGCACTTGCACAACCGTGGGTCCACCGTGTGTCCGGACATCACATGCCGCATTGCCAAATTCCCCCCTACTCGGTACGGCTGTATCCAGCAATCCCTGACCAGCCTGGGCACAAGCAGCACCGAGAGCACCCTTGCTCCAGGGGCAAATCAAGGGTGAGGGGGGGTGCATTTGGTCAAAGGTATGGTGATGACACCGATACCAACATTTGGTGCGAGCAACTGCAACCCCTACCATAATCAATACTATGATAAAACCAAGTGAATTCCGCATAACGCATCCCAGGCAAGGCATGTGAGCGTACCTGCCTAGAAAAACATCAGAATTGGCTGCGCAAATTTGAGTTGCTGCAATTGCACTCAATCCAGGGGTTGCTCTCAATTCCATGAGCCTGGATGGCTCCAGGAGCGGGCGACTGCACGACACACCACCGCAATCCTATCCTATCTCTTGGTTTTATTTCAGCCAGGCAGCCGTCAGCCACCGCTCGTGTCCAATCAAGAGCGCGCTTGAATAGAACAGCATGCAGGCACCATCGCTCAAGCGGCTGAGGGGACCACTGCTCCTACACGCCGTCTGTGGCCCCAGCGGGACACAGCGGAGCCCGTCGTCACAGCCACCCTGGGTTACCCCTGGTAACTGGGGGGCCCTTTGGTAGGGGCCTTGTGTGGGTCTGCTCCTTGAATGTTGCACAATTCCCTGCCAAACACTTGCGCAGGCAAGCGTGGGCAGAATTAAGCGCTACAGCACAGCATTGCAGTCCCCCCCGGCCCACATGCTACAAGTCCTCCTGACCACAAGTGCTCGCCTCTGCAGCTGGTTGAACCATTTCTGTTTTGCACGCTTGTGGCGCATACCCAGTGATTCAGACATCCAGCGTACTACAGTTTTATTACTTGCGTAAGAACCACTGGTGTTTTCAAAGCAATCGAATTATGGGAGACAGGAAGAAGGGGTACGACAGGAAAGCCTGGGGTGTGCATGTGCAAAGCAGATAAATGGCCTCGCTCACAAGCAAGGGGGCAACATCATGTCAGCCGGCAAGCAGGGGCAGCACAAACATGGCAAGCATGGGGGCATGGGATCAGGCGGCTGGTCAATATGAGGAGAGGCAGGGGCGCGCGCATGAGCAGCACGCCCGGAAGAGACTTGTGGCGCTGAGACACCACGCCGCCTGGCAGGACTGGCCTGCATGCCTCGGCCAGGCGGTGAAACCGCATCAGCCCATAGTGGAGCCGGAACACAGCGGGGGGAGAGCACGTTCTGGCACACTGTTGTGTTGCAGACGCCGCGCAACGACCGCTGCCAGGATTGGGGAAGGCTGGCAGACAGGCCGGATGCCAATGGCGGGTTGTGATGAAACCGCAAAATCACCCTAAGCACAGCTGTTGCCAACGTGCGCCTGCACCAAATGATACAGCACTGAAGAGTTCGCACGACCGTCACAGGGCCATGCTACCAAGGCACCAGCGACAGAGTGTGATGCCCGTGATTGTGCGCGCCCGAGCGTGCTTCACATCTTGGGCAAGAGCGCCGGGTTGTCATTGAAACACGACGCCTCGCAGGGGACTCAAAGCCAGGCGTCGCCTCCGACCACGACGACGGCCTCCGGCCACAACAACATACGTGCCTGCAGCGTAACACACGCAGGGCATCGCCCCGCCTCCCAGCTTGTGCCATATTCAAGCCTGTGCTGGCGTCTGCTGCCAAAGTCAGCCAGGCCTGTGGCCAAGACCGCTAACCTACATCGAGCCCAGCACGCCGCCGGCCTGGCCGTGCACGTCCTCGTCCCACGTGTACTGCCAGGCCTGCGCCGCTCGCGCCTGCAGGCCGCGCTCCAGCTGCAGCGCCTCCAGCACGCTGTCCACGATGCCCAGGGAGCCCGTGCGCGCCGCCAGGAACGCGTGCAGGTGCGGGTAGCGCGCCGCAGGCACGCGCGCGGCGGCGCGCTTCGCGGCGTCCGCGGCGGCGGCGGCGTCCGCATCAGCGACCCACGGGACCATGGCCTCCAAGTCGCCAGGGGCGCTGCGCAGCACCGCGCGGCGAGCGCGGCGCGCGGCGCGGCCGGGCGCGTGAGCGGCGAGCGCGCGAGTCAGGCGCGCAGACTCAGCGGCGGCGGCTGCCTCGGCTGCGGCCTCGGCTGCGGCGGCCTCGTAGCAGCCCTCGGCCTCCTCGTCGTACGACTCCACCTGGGGTTTGGCCATGAAGTAAGCCAGGCTGCCCACACCGCCCGGCGGCGCGGCTGCCTGCTGCTGCTGCTGCTGCTGCTGCTGCTGCTGGGTGGGGTACAGGAACGCCACGCTGCACGCCAGAGCAGGCCTGACGCCGCCTGCCAACGCGGCTGCGGCGGCTTCGATGCGGCTGGCCTCAAACGGCGTCGCGGCGCAGAGCGAGCCGTCGATGCCACAGCCCTCCTCGGCTTCCTCGTCATACGCACAGGGGCGCCACTCGAGCGGCGCGGCGAGGCGGTCGCCTGCCGGGGCTGCAGGGGCAGCCGTTGCAGCGCACCGCGCGGCCGGTGCGTGCGGCCATCTGCATGCGGGTGCTGGCGGCGGCGCAGTGATGCGTGGCCTACGCACCGGGCGCCTGCTCGGGAGGAAGATAGGCGTTTGGAGGTTGAGTGAATTGGCAAGGGGTGCAGCGAGCGCGTAAAAGCGCTCATGGCCGCCGCCCCAACGTCGCCGCTGCGGCTCCGATGCTTCAGGCCTGCTGGCGCGGCATATATACATCAATAGTAATCTTTGATACGCATGGAGCCCCACGTCTGGTCTGGTTGGGGAACGTTGCGCGGTGCTGTGCACAGCACACTCGCGGTGTCCCCGCACCTCGTGGAGGCCACGAAGCCCGGACCAGACTGCACAGAAGTGCCCAATGAAGCGCTCATTGCCGTTCTGAGGCAGTCTGCGGAGACACGACGGAGAGTAGTGCAGGCTCGGTCTACAGGTCACAGACTACGGGTGCTCCGCCCGGCAGGACGTCTCGGGTACTCCGGACGGACTGAGTTGCACCTAAGCAATACATCAAGCATGATGCGGCGCTCCTAGGGGTGCTCACCTTTGCGCTAGCCGGTTCAGAGCGTTCCTGACGTCTTCCTGCTCGACTGGCCAGATCCCCAGATGTATGGTCACGAGTCGACTCAGGAAAGTGATATGCCTGGCTGCGAGGGCGCTGGCGCACGGCGGTATAGGATCGTGGTTGGGGTGGGACCTTGCAGACTGTATAGGTGAGAGGTGGACTCGCCAATGTGCCGAGCGCTTTGTGGAGGTCGGGTACGGCGAGGGAGAACCACTGTGTGTGCCTCGCATCGGCACTGGCGGCCGACGGGGCGCCCTTGATTTCGCTCGTGCTGCGCTGTCGCGACAGGGACGTGGCAGGTACTGCAGGCGCTCTATGTCTGTGGTCCAGTCATGCACACCTCAAATGCAGTCAGTTATAGCCCATCTTCAAGGACGTTGCGACGTCTCAAATACGTGGTGGGCCAGTACTCGGCCTTGTCCACGGGGTGCCAGACCCCACACCTTTTTCAACGCAAAGTTACATGCAAGCTGCTCCTCATGCACCGCCCCACCCAGCGCGGCGGCCCCCCAAGTTGTATTTGCTTAACACTCAAGCACCATGCATGATGTATAGAGACTACCTATAGTAGGTATATTCCTGAACGTGCAGGGGGGCAGCTGCCGCAGCAATGGCGCTAGCGAGAGTGCGGGTGGTGCCGCCACTGGCTGAACATCCTGCAGCAGCACCTCTCTCATTCTTCCCCTGCGTCAACCCGGGCGCCCCTGTTGTCACTGCTAACATTGACAAGTACCTACGGTGCCGCCAGCCTTCTTGCAGCATATGGCGCTGCCGCCACCACTGCGCAGGTGCCTCCGCTGCGTTCGTCAAGAGACAACAAAGCGCCCCATCTTGGGAGACCCCCGGTCGTACCCGCCATCTGCTGGCGCTTGATCATGTCGCTGACGCCTGGCTCGCAGGCCTTGACGACCCGGCGGCTGGCCAGTGCCCAAACTTGATGGCCGTATCCCCGTGTCACTGTGACTGCTACCCGACGACGGACCATCAGAAGCGGGCCTGGCCACAGGTGGGCCCGCCTCCTGGCATGAGACGGGCAGCTCATGCAGCACAGCGGTTTGCGCGAGACGCAACAGAAGTGGCGGGAAGCGGGGGCAGGTGCAGGGTGTTTGCGTGGTTCGCGCCTCAGATGTTGTGAAGCTGCCTCGGCAGCCTGCGAACACGCTGTGCAATTGATGGCCACCCGGTTGCACGTCAGACCAGCATCATCCCACATCCACGCACGTAGCTCTGCTCTCGACAGACCTGCAACGCTGCGGATTGCACATTGACCCTGCCAGAGGAGTGCAGGCGGGGTCACAGGTGCTCGCATTCCATTGACAGCAAACCAACCACTCATCACCACACGATCACCCGGCGCCCCATGCAACAGCACCGCCGCCTGGGATCAGGGACTAGCTTGAAAGCCTGAAGAGAGGACATCGTCAACGGATAGACTCGCAGCAGCCAGGCAGCACGCAACTGTGTGCCAGCAGCACACAGGGAAGCACTACCAGTGGAAGGCCGGCAGGCAGTGCAGCATTTGAGCTACTGTGTGCGACCGTTGCCAGACCGCAACAAAACAGCGGCCGCATGGGAGCGTTGGCTGCCACCACATGACTTGTGACTGTCGCTGGTGCCTACAGGTGCCAGGTGAAGGTTCACGCTGGCCGCGAGGTGCCGACGCTGCTGGCACCTGGCGAGGCGCCAGCGGTTTGGGCACGCTGCCTCGCAACCCAGTTGATTCGTATGTGCGGCGTCGCCACGTCATAGCGGACTGGTTTGTAGCATCAAACGCATTGCTTTTGCTTCATGGCATGCGATAGGTAATCCCCGGCGCAGATCTCACGGGCACCTTCCGTGTTCATGATAGTGCCGCGTATGTATGAAGAGAAAACCCATTAATTACTCAATATTTTGTGTTTGGGGGGCCGCCATTGTCCCTGCGCACGAAACTGCACTGTAGCGACCGCCGTTCGAAACGCACCGCTTGCCCGTGCTGTGAAGGTCTCGCAGTGCAGCTGTGCGTAGCCTGCTGCCCGTAAGCCTTCACTCCAGCAGGTGCGCTTGAGAGCACGACGGCCTGCGCCCTCGTTGCACCTATACCGAGGCATGATTTGCGCAAGCAGACATCGGCAACGCCCCCCCTCCTCCTCCCTCGGCTTGAGCAATCCAGCCGACGCTGAAGCCATGCCGCTCAAGCGGGCGCGCGAGTGGAGCCTCGAGGAGGCCGCGGGGGCGCCCTACGACCTCCAGGAGCTGGCAGGCCCCTTCCTGGCCGGCCGCGCCATGGTGGCCTACAGGTCACTGTCAGAGGGCTGGCTGACGGGCGGAGCGGTGCACGCGTTGACGCTGGCGAAAAATGGGGTCCCGCAGGTGATGCGAGGGGACCAGGTGGCTCCGAGGCGTACGTTGACCTGCGTTGACCGGGATTCAGGAATTTTTGCACATGCATGGGCCAAGCAAGCGTGCGGCAGATGAGAGGCCCCAAGCCGACTTGTTGCGTCACAAGCAGGCGCGTGAGCATGTGCAGGAGCGGGCATGGCCAAGCTGCGGCCGATCCCGCCGCTCCCTTGGGTCTACATGCCTGGGCCAAAGCGGCCACTGCACTGCTGCTTCCCCTGCATCCTCGACACACACATACACACACACACACACGCACGCATGCGCGTGCATGCATGCATCACGCACGCGCGCACACACACACACACACACACACACACACACAACCCGACCCAACCCCAACCCCAACCCCAGTTCATGGCCCTGGATATCCCTGAGGCGCCCCAGTGAGTGGCATGCGTGCAGACGGGGGAACCTTGACGCGTGTGTGTTGACAAGGAACAGGTGCACATCGGCGTATGGGGGCCACAGAGGGGTGCCACGCGCCAACTCCAAATAGGCGCACGAGGGCCCAGCACTGAGGCAGCACATGAGTGATGTATAAACCAAGCATCTCCTGGACTGGGTATTGGCTGCCGGGCAGGCACAGCGGCGTCCCGGCGGTCCCAGCGCGCCCGGAGGGGGGGGCCGCTGCAGTTGAGGGCGCTGCCAGCCCCGGTGCCAGGGTGCAGGCCGCGCTCGACGCGCTGGGGGAAGCCAACAGCACCCTGTCGGAGGCGGCACTCGACCCCAAGGGCCGCCCAGGCATCCGCGATTACCACGCAGCGTATGTCTCAGGTAGGCAGGGCGCGCAGCACGCGTGGTCATTCGACAAGGCCGCTTGTTGCATGGGCTGGGTGGCAGCGATGCGCCTGCATTGAGCTCACTGACACCACGCCGCGCCCTCCCGGTTCCCCGTGCAGGCGCCGCATCCCCTGTGCAAGTGGCGGAGGCCATCATCGGCTTCGTGTCTCGAGAGCAGGGCGCAGCCAACTGGCTCAGCGACTTCGACCCGGAGCACCTGCGTGCGCAGGTGGGTGCCGCACCCCACCCAAGCACCTGATGCAGGCGTCGCTCTGCACGGCGACCCCAATCCAGCCGCCGCATGCGCCCGCCTTGGTGCTCAACCGCAAGCCTCCTGTTGGGGCTCCCCACTCATGCATCGCTGCACAGGCGGCGGCGTCTGCGGCACGCTATGCGGCTGGGGCGCCGCTGAGCGTGCTGGACGGCGTGCCCTTTGCTGTGAAGGACGCTGTGGATGCTTTCCCCCTCAGGACCGGCCATGGAACCTCATTTCTTGGGGACATGTGAGGCCACGAAAGAAGCAGGGAGGCCAGGAGCTGAACCGTCGTGCGGCAGCGGCTGCGCCAGCAGTGCGAGCGGCGACACGCGGCGTGACCAATCTGCTGCAAGCGCAATTTGCGCGCTCATGGGCCTGCCCGGGTTCCTCAATTCCCCCTACGTGCTTGCACATTAGCCTTGCAAAATCTACGCCACCTGCGCTGCCACCCGTCCTGCGCAGGGACGGCCCGGTGGCGGACGTGGCCTTGGAGGCGCCGTGCGTGGCGGCACTGCGCAGCCTGGGGGCAGTGTGTGTCGGCAAGACGCAGATGCAGGTGGGAGTAGAGGGAGAACGAAGCTGGGGCTCGCTGCTATGCATGCACAGGTGTAACATGGCCGGGCCGCCTGCCTGCAATACGCCCGACGCCCCAGCGCCCAGCGTTTGGCTGTGCGATGCTTTGCTGCTGCTGCGCAGGAGTTTGGCCTGCTGCCGACAGGCCTCAACCCCCGGCTGGGCCTGACGCGCAACCCCCACCACCTAAGCCGTATCGCTGGCGGGTCCAGGTGCGGTGCCCCACAGGGCCTGTTTCAATGGGGCGGGCATGGGGTGGCCGAGCGTTTACAGATTGACGCCGGTGCTGAAGTGCTGCGCGGCATCAGCTGACCTTTGCGCCTTGGTGCACCCCCTCCATGTGGAGCAGCAGCCCGCGCCTTGTTGCTGCGGACTCGTCCCATTTGCCGGTCCTGCACGCGAATCGCACCTCGCAGCGGCGGCAGCGCATGCGTGGTGGCAGCTGGCGTGTGTGCGTTTGCCATTGGCACTGATGGTGGCGGCTCCGTGCGCATCCCGGCCTCCCTCTGTGGAGTTGTGGGCCTCAAGCCCACCCAGGTGCGCTCGGTGGGTTGGGGGGCAACCCACCCTACAGGGAAAGGGCCTGCATGCACACCATGACAATGCACTGGGGTGTGCCCTGTATCCTGTAGCAGCTTGCTGGGGTCAGACATGCAGACCACACGCGCATAATGCATTGAACCAGGCGGTGGTGAAGCTAAGCCTGTGTGCGTTTCGCCCAATTTCGCTGACCGCCTCACCTGACTGTGTGTTTCGCCATGCTGTTGCCCAGGGCCGCATGGCTTCAGACGCAGGGACCTGCGCCCTCATCACCCTGGGACCCCTGGGTGAGCCGACGGCCTGACGGCGTCACGGGCTGCATGCCCTAGGCCCGCCACAGTGACATGGGGAGCAGGCAGCAGCAGCCCGGTGATCGCTTAACTTGAGTGTGTGCGTGGGAGCCGAAGCGCCCTCCAGGAGCACGTCAGAACCGGTTCGTCACACCGCCATCCTTCCCTCTCCCGCACCCACCCAGCGACCAGCGTGGGTGATGCCATGATCGTGTATGCGGCCATGGCCTGCCCGGGATCGTGCGCACTCTCGCCCCTCAAGCCCGCGGCAGCCCCCGGAATCGGTGAGGGCAGCGGGCTCGCTGCCGCGCGCACAGCAGAGCAGGCACAGGCGGAAGTGGACGCCGCTGCAGCGGCCGTCAAGGCCGCGGCAGCCGCGCCGTTCCCAGAGGCGGCTATGGGGGAGGACGCGGCGACGCGGCCCCCGCTGGTGCTGCCACGGCGGTTGCTGGCTGAGGGTGTGGACGGCTCCAGCCAGGACGCGCTGAGTGCGGCCCAGCCGCTGGCGGGCCTGAGGGTCGGCGTATTCAAGCCGGTGCGTGTGTGAGTGTGTGAGAGGGGAGTGAGTGAGATGAGTGAATGGGAGACATGCAGGTGGCAAGGGCGGGTAGGTGTGTGATTCTGCGGGAGAGAGGAAACGGCGGGTGCAAGGCGGGTGGGTGAGTTGGTACGTAGGTGCGTGAGAAGGGGAGTTTTGCTAGTGTCTAGGCTACTAGGGTGTGGAGGTGGCTGGACAGCCGGCCACCCAAGGCGGGTGAGCCCAGCATAAAGGCATGGGTATGTGTGCGCACGCATCTGTCTCTGGGCTCATTTTGCCGTCGGACCCCTCAATCGTATCGCCCCTGCTGCGGGCATACAATGCAACCATCCCGCAGTGGTTTGATGACTCAGAGCCGGCCGTGGCGGAGGCCGCGCGCGGCGGGATGGGCCTGCTGTCCCGCCTGGGGGCCGAGGTGGTGGCCATCACCCTGCCAGAGCTGGAGCAGCTGCGCGTGGCCAGCAGCTGCATCATCCTGACAGAAATGTTCGGCACCACCCGCAGCGTCTATGAGGACCCGCAGCTGCGGCCCCAGGTGGGGGCGTCACACGTCGCCAACTCTGCCGCGCAGCCCCTCGGTATAGGCGTACGCTCCTCTGGCTGCCCCAGTGGGCAGTGCGGCACGCCTCCAGGCCACTCAAGTGCCGCAGCCCAGCATAGGGCGCGGCCCACCTCAGCAGGCGGCGGGCGGCTTCGGCTCCCTCCCAAAAAGCCACTGGTTGCAGCGCCCTGTGCCGAAAACCCCCTCCACCCGGCCCCCAACCCCCTCTCCCAACCCACACATCCCACTACATGTAATGCCGCCCCTCAGCTGAACGAGGACTCCCGCATCATGCTGTCACTGGCCTCGCGCCTGCTGGCATCCCACTACACCCAGGTGACACACGCTACCATTCGCCGTAGCACGCCCTGCCTGCCCCCCCCCCCTTGACCCCCTCTGAAAGGAATGCCAAGCCCCTGCTGTTTCGACTCCTGCGCCTGCTGTGCATGCAACGCCTCCCCTTAACCAGGGGACTTCATCTGCTCGCGAGGCAAAACGGGAAGCGTAAATCGCCACGCTCACCATGCGTGCTGCACACGATGCTTGCACGCCATGTCACGCATGACGCCGTCACTGGATGCAGGGTCTGCGTGTGCGGCGGCGCCAATCGCACCACTGGGCGCGCGCTTTCGAGTCATGCGATGTCATTGCGACACCGGGGACCGCTGCCGTGGCTCACGAGATTGCGCAGGGCGCCGGGGACTCAGGTGTGCAGCAGGGGCAAGCGCGCATGCTACCACTTGTTCTTGGGAAATGGTGCAGGCAGAGAAAGGTGTGTACATAGTACACAGCGTCATGCCGTAGCGCCTGCCGCGTCGCGCGCAACCCAGGCTCTTCGCAGGTCCGCCCCACCCCCATCCCCGCCCCCCATGCACACAACCTGCGCTGCCTTTGCTTGCCACGTCAGAACTCTTCTTGCCTGTTTTCAACCTGCAATGGCCTCCCCTCAACAAAACTCGCACGTCCTTTCACACACCCAGGCTTCATGCACCTGCCCAGCACCGCCAAGCTGTTGCGCTACTCCATCCAGGCCAACGTCCTGGGCCTGCCCGCGCTGGTGGTGCCTGTTGGCGCCGTGCAGGAGGGCGGCGCGCGCCTGCCGACTTCGCTGCAGCTCATAGGGCGGCCGTGGCAGGAGGCGACGCTGATGCGCGTGGGGGCGGTGCTGGAGGCGGCGTTGGCGGCGGGCGGCGGCGGGGCGCCGCCGCCGGCGCTGAGGATGCCCAATCCCCTGTCAAAGCCGGAAGCTGGCTCACCTTAAGGTCACCTTTTACTTGACAATTCCGTGTGCTAATCGGTGACTTCGCCGCATTTTTCCCCGGTGTACCTTGGTGTGCAGTCCTGGTCTGGGTCCCTGTTGGGTGGTGTCTTGTGTCGCCCAGTTCACACAACTAAGGTGAGTGTATGCATGGTCCTGGGTTAGTAAAATGTGAAATATACGAAAATCCGTCGTATCATGCATGCAGTAACGAGGGCGATTACCGTGGGGCGCCGAGAGTGGTCACCACCGTAGACACTGCACATGGCAGATTTGGCAAGCAGCAGTATGCTCAAAGCGAATGGGGTATCCCTGCCCGTACCAGCGCCTGTGAAATTCAAAACACAAAACAGCCACAGTCAACGTGGAGGTGGGGTCCGACGCAGCGGCTGCGCAGGGGCAGGTGAAGTGCCCACCACCTGTCGGTGCTGCAGGTAAGCACCTGCTCGTGTGTCCATGTGGCCAGTCCGCACTCCTCTCTGAAGCAGGGCACGGTGTGATGCTGGCAATTAATGTAGTTGATAAGCGCCGCCGTTTTTCCGTCTCTTGCCCATGCAAGCCGCCGCAGCAAGAACTGCGACTGCAACGTTGGGTGACGCCAGGTTACACACCCACAAACCACCTGCAGGGGGAGATTGACGTGAGCGCGCAGATGTCTGATTGAACAAGGAGTCTCTATCGATACGATGGTGGCAGAAGACGAGAGTTCTGATGCTCCTCGCATCGAAGCGAGAATGCTGACAGCGGAGTCTTCGGCACGGGGCAGCAGCAAAGGCAGTGCGGCTCGCCGCGTCATACAATGCTATGACATGAAGGAGATAAGGGCGCCACGTGTGGTTGGCAAAGCCTCTCTGGCCCTCTTGATGACCCTGGCGGAGCACCGGCACACGAGAAGATTGGCTTACAACGTTATTGCAGCGCCTCAAAACAACTTCCACAAGGTGATGCGGTACACTTCACCGCGCAGGAACAACCGGCACCGGGCGACCGCACTCGCCATGGTGCAGTTGGCCGGGTTGACTCTGCCTGACGTCGCGATCTCCCTGGCCCCCCCCCCCCTGCAGTTCACGAAGCTCGCCATCCCTGAGGAGCCCAAGTGAGTATAATGAGATGGTTCTGCAATCAAACCTTTTGCACCGGTGCCTCATCGCACGCCTCACCCACCAGCCACAAGCAACGCATTTGACTCTGTGCCCCACGCAGACGCTCGGGCGTGCCCGACGGTCCCCACACGCCCGAGAAGGGGTGCGTCCCGGTGGCAGGCGCGTCCAGCCCGGCAGCGCGCGTGGCGGCCGCGCTGGCTGCGCTGGACGGCGGGTGGGCGGTGGACGGCGGCGCGATCATCTCCGACCCATCTGATGCGGGCGCGCGGCCGTCCATTCTGGACTACCACGCCGCGTACCAGTCAGGTAAGAGGCATTGATTTGGTTGAGGAGGAACGCTTCGCAACAGGCCACTGCTATGCCAGCCATGTTTGTTTCCTGTTGGCAGCTGCAGCTGAGTTGTTGCCCTTGGCCTTGTGGGTGGGAGGATAATGGCCTCGGACCCACAGGCAGTGTGGTGCTGTGGCAGCTGGCACAAGAGGTCACAGATTGCAAAATCGCTGCATTGTAGCAGCAACGAAGATTTTCAGCGCATAGTACTGAATGGCCTTTGGCACATCGGCATACCCTATTGCTTGAAGCCTTGGGTAAACAGCCCCGAACACTTGCACCTGCGCTCACTAAGGCGCCTTCATGCACAAACAATTGTTCGTGCGTGCATGTTTAAACAACATTTGAACTGCCCCAGGCACAGCGTCCCCTGGTGATGTGGCCGAGTCCATCGTCCGCTTCCTGGCTGAGGAGGAGGGCGCCGCAAACTGGGTGTACGGCTTCAACCCCCAACACCTGCGGGCACAGGTGTGCAAGCGCATGCGCACACCCAAGCCTCTGCCCACCGCATCCCTGTGGATTTGCAATGGCCACAAGCGCGTCAGGCGATTGATACCCCCAATCACCCATGCTATCCGGACTTACTTGCCTTGCCCGATGCTGCCCTTGAACCATGATCCAGGCGGCGGCATCCGCGGCGCGCTATGCGGTTAGTGCGCCGCTGAGCGTGCTGGACGGCGTGCCCTTTGCCGTGAAGGACCACGTTGCGACCTTTGCCACCCGGGTCTGCCAGGGCACCACCTTTCTGGGCGACATGTGAGGGCTTTGTGTCGAGTGCTAGGGGGTTGAAATTGTCACATGCCAGAGCCGACAACAGTAAAACGCGCGGTATGCACTGCATGCAGGCTGGGTTCACCGGGACCGCTGTGCAAGTGCGCCCTGCCACCCCGCATATACGCACAGGGGCAGCCCGGTGGCGGACGTGGCCTCGGAGGCGCCCTGCGTGGCAGCACTGCGCAGCCTGGGGGCGTTGTGCATTGGCAAGACGCAGATGCAGGTGAAAACAGAAGGGAGCGGGATGGGTGCGACACGATGCGTGTCTAAGTGCGAATTGAACACCCGCCTCAGGTGATTGGAGTAGACCTCCAGCAATGGAACGTCCTGGTCACTTGGTCTGCACAACATACCCCCGAACTGACGCCTGCACGCACCTCACCGCCTGATGCCCCGCAGGAGTTTGGCCTCCTTCCAACGGGTGCGTAGGCAGGCAAAGCTGTGTGCTAGCCGCTGCCTGCAAGTGAATGGTTCATGTGCTCCCCAGCCCCGGGCCAGGCTGTCAGCGACAGGTGCTGCAACTACCGTTTGTCACCTGCACTCACCCCTGGGTCACCACCACAGGTATCTCCTGGAAGCTGGGCGTGGCGCGCAACCCACACTCCCAGCGGCATACAGCGGGCGGCTCAAGGTGAGTCAGCAGAGGCCCCGAAGAAGTTGAAGTGGCTGGGACCCGATGTCAACTTGCTCGTCATCAGAACAACATCGTGTACAGCAGCACAGCGCCCGCACTTGCTTTCCCAAGAGCTTAGGCACTCCTTGGCCGCAGCGGTTGTGTGCTACTAACAATGCGTTTGCCACCCGCGCCGATGTGATCCGCAGTGGCGGCAGCGGGTGCGTGGTGGCGGCAGGCCTGGCGGCGTTTGCCATCGGCACTGATGGCGGCGGCTCCGTGCGCATCCCCGCCGCCGTGTGCGGCGTTGTCGGGCTCAAGCCCACCCAGGTGCGCCCTGAGCAGGCGCCAGCTGCCGCTGCTTAGAGTTTGGGTGATAAAACAGGTGCAAGCATAGTGAACGCACCATGAAGTCATTTGATAAAAGCACCCTGTAAAAACTTTGCTGCTGGCTTGCCGCACCAGCCTCGGACACTGCGCCGTCGCAATCACGTCGGCCAGGCCCTAACTCCCACTGATGCAGGGACGGATGGCCTCCCTGCCTGAGGAGCACAGCCTGTCGTCAATCGGCCCGCTGGGTGAGGGTGTCTGAGCGGGCCCGTGCCCCGACAGCGTACGTGTATTCCGTTGCCACACAGCCCACAGGGCAGTGGCAATGTCAAACGCGTGCCGCAGTATATAGTTGACCCCCATCCCGTTGCTGGTAGAAACCAGCCCCACATTCCCCCTCAACCCCCTCTATCCTGCCCACCCAGCCACCAGCGTCGGTGATGCCATGATCGTGTATGCGGCCATGGCCTGCCCGGGGTCGTGCGCACACTCGCCCCTCAAGCCGGCGAGGGAGACGCTGGATACCATGCCTGGAGCTCAGCTCAGCGCGCGTACGGCGGAGCAGGCGCAGGAAGAGGTGGATGCCGCGGCAGCAGCTGTCGAGGCGGCAGCAGTGGCGGCCCTGCCAGAGGCGGCTGTGGGGGAGGACGCGGCGACGCGGCCCCCGCTGACGCTGCCGCAGCGCGTGCTCCCAGAGGCGTCTGACACAGCTGGGCGCATCGGACTGTTTGGGGCTCAGCCCCTTGCGGGCCTCACGGTCGGCGTGTTTCAGCCGGTGGGTGGCAAATTCTTGCATGCCCAAGTAGGCTTCAGGCATTGGGGGATTCACAGTGGGCAGGTCCTCTCATGGCTGGCGCTGGGCTTGCTGCCGCCGTAGCGCATGGTAGCAGGCGCCGCCCATCAGGAGCACGCTTGATCCCTTAGACAGCTTAAACCACACTGGTGGTCCCCTCACACTAACTCACAGCCCAGAGGGACGTTCTGTCTCACTCATGCGCGTAAACACCCGCACAGTGCTTGTCCTCGCAAACGCATGGCATGTAGACCCCATGCCGCGGCCGCAAGCACCCGCATGCGCGCTCCGAACACATGTGCACATACTTTGTGACGCACCCAGACACTCAAAACCTACTTCCCTTCTCTCACACTAAAACTTCCCGAAATCAGTACTTTGAGCACTGCGAGCTGGCCGTGGCGGAGGCCGCGCGCAGCGGGGTGGGCCTGCTGTCCCGCCTGGGAGCTGAGGTGGTGGCCGTCACCCTGCCAGAGCTGGAGCAGCTGCGCGTGGCGCACACGGTGACCTTCATGATGGAGGCCTTGAGGACACGCCACGTCGCGGAGGCCTGGGCCACGCAGGAGCAGCGCAGCCAGGTGGGGGGCCGGGGCGATGGGGCGTTACGCAAGGCAGCCTGTTGCTGTGCCGCACGGGTGCCCTCTTCCTGCTGCTGTTCAAGCTGTTGGGCCGCCCATGGCACGGCCCTGATGTGGTCCAGGCATTGCAAATTATATGACATCAAAGTTTGCCACGGGGGAGGGGGGACATTTTGGACAGGAACCATTAGCTGCGCTGGGGTGAATGGTCCTAGCCATTGCAGCCGCCGACACGTGGGAGCGACCAAGCTTAAAGTTGGCGGGAGGGCGCATGCCTCCTAGACACAATAAACAGGCAGGCCTTCCTTCAAGCAAAGCGGAAGGAGCAGCGAGCTCCTGGTGAAGAGAGAAGTCAAAACCAGTAGCGGCCCTTCCAACCTCGCAACACTCTGTCATCCATGCCTGACAATGCCTAAGCTGTTGCTCTGTTATCAAGCACTGCTCCGCTCATTGCATCTCAACTCTCATGCTTCAAACCCACCCAAACATCCAACACATACATACGCACTACCGCCCGGCCCCCAGCTGCATGAGGACACGCGCATGATCCTGGCAACAGCCTCGAACCTCACAGAGCGCCACTTGGAGCAGGTCAGGCGCTGGGGGAGAGCCCCTGGGCGATGAGAGTGGCAGAGCCGGGCAGGATAGGGGACGACGGAGGAGGAAGAGAGGGTTGCCCCACACAGGACAAAGGGATGGGCTGCCAGGGCTTTGGGCCCGACCTGCACTGCGTTGAATGGACGTCGTGCGGGAGCGACGCATCTACTTGTTGTGCAGACAAATAGCACAGGCGCACAGCTTTGATTGCCATATCTCTGATACCCGGAACATTATTCTCCCCTCCCCTGCCGCCTTGTAACCCTGGCAGGCCCAGCGTGTGCGCCGCCGCCAGGAACGGCACTGGAGCCGCGCGTTTGAGTCGTGCGACATCATCGTCACGCCCACTGTCGCGTGCCTCGGCATCGAGATCATCAAGGGCGCCGCGTCCGAGGGTGGGGCTCTTGGGGCGTGTGGATGGCGTGGGTCGGGAGGGCGGCTTGCCTGTGGGCTGGGTGGGTGTGGCAGGCTACATACCGACACCTTCAGCAAGCACATCAAGCAGCCAATTGGAAGCGCAACCAGGGGCTCGGGCAATAATTTGAAGATCCAGCCCCAGCTCCTGTGCGGCGCCGCACTACTTGTCCACCCACGCTATGACACCTGCCCATTGTCCCCTCCTCCCTCCAGGCATGCTGCACCTCACCCAGACCAGCCGCCTCACGCGCTACACAATCCCGGCCTCCCTCCTGGGCCTGCCGGCGCTGGCACTGCCCCTCGGCACCGCGCCCTGCCGCTCCACTGGCGCACGCCTGCCAACGTCGCTGCAGCTCATAGGGCGGCCGTGGCAGGACGCGACAGTACTGCGCGTGGGGGCGGTGCTGGAGGCGGGCTTGAGGGAGGCGGGGTTCGCCGCACCGCTGCCGGCACTGAGGATGCCCAACCCCCTGGTCACGGCTGTCGGGAAGGCAAAGGGCGGCCACGCGTGATCAGTGGCCCTTCACATGGACGTGGAGCAAGCAGGCAGCCATTCGCGACACGTGTACAATCTGTTGAGGCTGTGTGTCGAGCGCCAATGCTTGTGATGTTTGTGTTTGTGGTGGAGCAGCGTGCAGTGCCCTGGACCTAGGTGATTCAACTTGATGTGGAGGATGCTGCTGCCAAGTAATGTGTTTGAGCTCTCGTGTGCTGCCGCCACACCCCAATGAGCTGTGGGTTGCATGTATATCAGACTGATGCTGCCGACGCCACACTGGTCTGCTTGTGACACTGTGTAACAAGCTGAGACAAGATGCAGCAAAGGGCTTTACAAGCATCGAGCAGGCAGGCGTGTGCAGGCAAATGCATGATCGTACCTGCCCATGGCAAGCGCCGTGGGGAGCACCACGTCGTGCGTACAGGTGTGCGTGCATGCTGCAGACAGAGGTGGCCCAGGGTCGGCCCTGCAGCGTATCCTTGAGGAATGAGCCACCAGCTGCTTGCGGAGACGAGTGCCCGGCGCGTGCAGCCTGGCAGGCACAAACATCTATCTACCATGCGGAGCAGCAAACAGCAGGAGCAAGGTTGGCACCGCCGCTTGCTGGGCGTGGTGCGCGGCGGTGCCTCAGCGTTTCCTCGGACGCCTGCAAGCACCGCCCTGCAGGCGACGTGCTGGGCCCAGCTTTTGGGCCCGTGGAAGAGGGCATGCGAACATGCTGTTGTTTTGGTTGTTTGCTGCAATGAAACTCGCGACGGCGCAGCACGGATGCGCATGGTCGCCGGCAGCAGGGCGCATGCCTTCTTCGCCCACACCAAGGGCCCGGCATCGCGCATGAGTGTGTCCGTCACGCGGCTGCTGCAACAGTGCAGGGAAAAGCAATCTGCAGGCAATGGCTGGGCATGGCAGCCGGGAGCAGGCCGCAGCCGCGTCGGCGTGCGCTCATCGGCATGAAATGAAAGAGGGTCAGGGTCAGGTCAACGTGTCATTGGCGGTGTCAAGTCGTCATAAGCTGCAGCTGCTGAGGAAGGTGTGATGGAAGAGAGAGTGGTATGGATCCATGATGTGTCGCGTCAAAAGCGGCCCCTGTGATTGAAAGAGGCGCCCACCTGCCAGGCAAAGTCAACACCAGGCCACGCACCGTTGGGTGCGGGCCCAGGCACGCGCGCGCGTGTGATATAGACTGCATCGCCCTTCTGCCACCATAGCCACGGCTCATGCGTATGTGTGTGTATGCACGGCAAGCCGAGCGGGGCCCTGCACAGCCACAAATATGTCAAGTCAAGACAATGCGTCCTGCCTACACACGAGCACGTCCTGCCCCTGCCTGGTGGGCAGGCGGCGCGGCCGCCTCGGTTCACTTCCTGCCAACAACAACAACACCTGTCCTAGCGCAATGCAGCCAGCACACAAAGACCCACACACACCACGCACACGCTGGTAGCACCTGCTCATTGGCTCGTCAGGTGGTCGGCCCTGAGCGCTGCCGTAATCAGCCCCTACCATCTGGCACAACTCAAGTGCTGCCGCGGCGCGTCATCAGCGGCGGACCGATAAATAAGTGCCGCTTGGCGCGCTCGCGAGAGAGATTGCACGCCCTACGCCACAACATTCTCGTCAACCGCCGCGCCACCGTGGGCGTGCTGCGCCCCGCCAGGACAGGCACAGCAAGCTGCGCGGATGCACGCCCCGCCAAAAGCTCCCTCCAGCCCCGTGTGTCTCGCTGCCATGTGAAAAGGCAGGGCCTCCCACACCGCGTCTTCCAGAAGCCCCTCAGCAAAGCCACACGCCGGACGCACCACACCAAAGACAGCAGCCGGGCCCTGACCAGTGCGGTGTCCTTTTGCTTGTTGGACCCAAGCGCCGGTGTTGCCAGAGAGACCGCTCCCGATCCTCCCAGGCACGTCCCACAAGCCTCCTGGCACAGGGTACGGCTGGGCAAGGTGCGGCCAAGGTACGGCCAAGGTACGGCCGCTCAGCTGTCGCCACCAAACTCCTGGGCCTTGCGCTTGCTGCCGGCGGCGCCGGCTGCCCTCAGCACAGAGGAGGCCACCGGCGGGCCAAGCTGGTGCGTGCGCCGCCAGCGGGTCCCGCAGGCGTTGCACAGCACGCTCTTGTGGGGCGGCCCCTTGCGCCACTGCGGCGACTCGTCCACGCCGCAGTGCATGCAGGGGCCCGTCCGCTTCTCTGCGGCAGGCTTGGGGGCCTGTGCACGCAGCAGCTGCGCCGGTGACGCCGAACCCTCGGGCCGCTGCTGCCGCTGGTCCCCTTCCTGCTGCGAGCGCGCCCCGACGCTGCTGCCGCCACCGGCTGCCTTGCCGCTGTTGCGGCGCTTGGCATTGCCTTGATCCCTGGCGCCGCCGCCGCTGCCGCCACCGCCTGCCGCCGCCGCGCCGACCTCCTCGCCCACCTCCTCCTCCTCGTTGCCCGCCGCCGCAGCCATCGCGGCCACGGCGCCCGCGCTGCCGACGAACGACATCGCGCGCGGCAGCGAGGCGGTCGCGCTGAGCCCGCTGCTGCCGCTGTCAGACTCGAGCATACGCGCGACATGCGCTGCGTCGTCGTCGGTGGCGGTGCGCAGCGGGCGGCCGGTGGCGTCGTCCAAGAGGACGAGTTGGTACACCCGCCGCGGCTGCGGCAGCGCGTGCGCGTGCGCCGGCTGCTGCATGTGAGTGTACTGCTGCTGTAGCAGCAGCTGCTGCTGGTAGTACGGCTGCTGCTGCTGCTGTTGTTGCTGCTGCGTGAGCATGCTCTGCCATGCGTGAAGCTGCTGCAGTTCACCGGCTGGCGCGAACGGCGCAGGCGCAGCGGGCCCAAAGGCGGGCTCCCGGCAGCTCCCGCCCGCCAGAGGGTGATGGTGGGGTTGCTGCTGCGACGCCGCCGCCGCCACCGCATGGTGGTAGTTGTGGTGCATGGCGGGCGGCTGCATGCCCGCGCAAGCCGTGGGGTCGTCCTCCGGCAGCGGCAGCAGCAGGCCCGGCGCGGGCAGCTGACTGAGGACGCCGCCCCTCGGCGCGCCGCGGTCTGGGCCGCATGCGTCGAGCGGGGAGGGCAGCTCGTCCAGGAGCAGGAAGTTCTTGGCGGATTGGTAGCCGCTGGAAGCTAGCATGCAGCTGTCCACATCCAGGTAGCTCATGCTGCCCATTGACCCATCAACCGACGGACCGCCGCTGCCTGGCGGCGTCACGCGGCAGCCTGGCCTGCCGCCGGCGGCCGTTGGAGCCGCTGCATGGCTGCTGGACATGCCTGGGGGGCGTGCAAGGGGGCGGGCGCGGGTGCGGGCCGAATGGCGCGCGGCGGGGCGAAGTTGGGGCGGGACGGCGGATGCGCGTCAGGGTCGCGCCATTGCGCCATCGCGCGCGTGCCCGCCAGGTGCGCGGTGCAGGCTGCGAAACGCACCTACTGACGCAGCACGAATACTTGAAACCGTTTGCTGTCCAAGTCGAGCTACCCGACGGGCGGCGAGAACGCGGCCAATCCTGTTTGTTGCTGTGCGGACTCGTGGTGTGCCCCTGTGGGGGCGAAAGTGCAAACAAAAAATGTGTTTCTATGTAAATCATTCAAAAAGAAGGTAATCGCTGGCACAGCGCGCCCGTGCTGCGGGTCCCTCGGAGTCAAAGCAATGAAACTCACCGTTCAAGGAATCACTGGGCACAAATACACTCCTATTGCCCCTGCATCACGCTGAAACTGCGTGGGCCAGGTATGCTGCAGAAGACAGCAACAGCAGCGGTCCTGCATTGGGCACCTGCTTGTGCTACTCGTACTGTAGGCCTTGCCTCGGTTCGCGGGCCCAGGCCCCCAGCTCCTGATGATGCGGCGCGGCGCGCGCAAGGGGATGCAAGCGCATCTACCTCTCAGGCCTGTGGGCGCGTTGAATTATGTTCACTGATAGATACACTCTGACATTCCCACTTTGACGGTTGATGACAAAAAAATGACCCATATGTGCGGTGCTGTTGCAGTTGGCGCATCGAATCCCTTACACGGCCTCCGCCTGCCGCAGCGCCGCGGCGATTACAAAACCACCGCCGCGACCGGACCCCTTGGGAAATGCCGTCCTTTTGCTGCGGCGTGTGTGGCCGCGTCACTCCGCGCCCCACTCCCTGATCAACACGGCCTGCGCCACGGGCGTGCCCTCCAGGCTGTCCACCCGGAACACCGCCGCGTCGCGCGCCACGACGCGCCGCCCGCCGGCCGCGGCCAGCGCGAGGCGCGGGACGACCGCAAAGCGGCGGGACGACTCGTCCGCGTCCCGCAGCGCAAACGCCCATTCCGCCTGCCTCAGGTCGCGCGGGGTTTGAGGGTGGGGCGGCAAGGCGGCGATGTCATGTTGGGGTGTGACTCGCAGGCCCTCACCCCGGTGATCTCCCAAGGCACGAGCGTCGCCGCCTTTTCAGGTGCTGCCACCGCGTCCAACCGCAGCCCCCTCGAAAAATCGTGCGCGCCGCCGCCCGGCCCCCCCCCCTTGCCTCGCCTGCCCGGCAGGCGCAGCACGGCGCCGCCGCCAGGCCCGCCCCGCCCCGCGGCCCCCACCTGCGCGGCCTCGTCCTGCGCCACGAGCTCGTGCCCCTCGGTGCCAAACAGGTCCAGGTAGCCGCGCCCGAACAGCCGCTCCGCGGCCGCGTTTGCATACTCCAGCTGCTGCTGCCGGCTGTCGTCCAGCACCAGCAGCACAAAGGGCGCGGCCCACACCGCGGCGGCGCGCTCCTCCTCGGAGACGGCGTCCGGCAGCAGCGGCCTGGGGTCGCGAGTACAAGGGGTTGAGGTTGGGGAGATGACGGGCGAGGGCGAGCGACGCGCGGCAGCTGCATGAAGATCAGAGAGCAGCAGGAGCGCCCAGCCCTGCGAGCCTCAGGCATAATCCTTGACGTGAGCCCCAGGGCGCCTGGCCGACTGAAATCCGTTCGGGTGCGCAGTACACCTGGCACGCAGTCGCACGCCGCACCACCCCATGCCACCCTCTACCCCCCCCCCATTCGGCGCACTTCTCCAGGTACTTCTCATGCGACTGCATCACCAGCCCCAGCAGCAGCGTCGTCACCTCGTCCGCCCACGGCTCCGCCTCGTCTGCAGGCCCCGCAGCCGCCCCCTGCACACGCGTGGCCTCCTTGCCCTCGACGCGGCCGTCCTCGTCCTCATCCTCGTCCTCCTCTGCCGCAGCATCCAGGTCTGCCGCCAGCTCAGCGATCAGGTCCTGCTCCCACCCCTCACCCAACAGTGCCTTCTCCAGCTGGCCCCAATCCAGCTCGCCATCGTCGTCGCCGCCAGGGCCACCGGCGGCTGCCGCTGCACCGCCGCTGCCCTTGGCGGCGGCCTTGCGCTTGGGTGCGGCCGCGCCACCCGACTCCATCGCCTCGAACAAATTGAGGAGGCCCTCCAATTCATTGAGGTCCCGGTCCAGCGCCCCTGACGGCGCCGACGCCGCCGCCGGTTGCGGCTGCCGCCGCTGCTGCTGCTGCTGCTGCTGCTGCCGCTGCTGCTGCTGCTGCTGCTGCTGCTGCTGCTGTTGCTGCTGCGCCGGCTGCGAGGCGCCAACTGCCGCAGCCGGTGCCTGCGGCTGGGCCGGCGCTTGCCGCTGCTGCTGCTGCTGCCGGCCCCGCCGCTGCCGCTGCTGTTCCTGCTGCTCGCGCTCCCGCTTGGCCGCCGCCTCGAACTCCTCAAACTGCCCCAGGGCGTCCCAGTCCAGCTCGTCCTCGTCCTCCTCGTCAGCTCCAACCAGCTGCTGCAGCAGCCGCTTCTCAGCATCCGCCTTTTCCGCGTCAGCGCCACGCCCGACCGCGCTCGCCGCGCGCACACCAGTTGCCGGGGCCGTGCCGGCCGCGCCGTCCGCCGCGGGCGTGGGTGCGGGC